TGCCTTCTTATGTAACACAGGCCCACCTACCCAGGGGTGGCACCAACCACAGTGGGCAGGGCCCTCCCACATCACTCAACAATCAAGAAGATGCCCCACAGACATAGCTAGAGGCCAGTCTTATCGAGGTAATTCCCCAGTTGAGGCTCTCTCTACCCAGGTATGTCAAGTTGACACTAAAGCTATCGAGCACAATTGACCCCTTGTCAACTTGACCCACAAACACATCACTATTAAACCATAACCTTTCCAACTCTTATCCCAAAGATATGATGTTAACATTAATATCACAACATAAGACAGTACAACTTTAAAATCCCCACAGTCCTTAAAAAATTCAAACCCTTAAAAGTCCAGTCACTTTTAAAAGTTTCTTAACTGGGGGCTCCTGTAAAATCCAAAACAAGTACTGTCTTATTTCAAAGGGAAAATCAGGCACACCTAAGCAAAACCAAAGTCCAGCAAAGTAGCTCAAGGCTGGACATCTGGGATTCTCTCACAATCTTCTAGGCTCCAAAGGGTTCTGGCAGCTCTGCCTCTCTTATTCTGCTGGCCACAGCATACACTGCTTGTCTCAGAGACCCAAGACGACTCCATTCCACACCGGCCGCTGCCCTTGGTAGTTGACCCATGGTCCTGCCATCTCCAAACAGCTAGGGTGTCCACTGAAACTGAGGCTACACCTTCACCAATGGCCTCTTCTCGCCTCTCTGGGTGCAAAGCCTCAGACTCTCTCCATGATCCCTTCAGTCCTGGGGTCTTTACTGCAACTGAAGCAGCACTTTCACCTATGGCCTTTCCTGGCCTCTCAGGGTGCCAAGCCTCAGCTGCTCTCTGTGACCCCTTCGCACTTTCAACATCAGAATAATGCAGGAGACTCTTACACATTACCAAGTCTTGAATTCAGCTAGAGATGGAGGCTCAGGTCCCTTCTTGACCACAGCTTCTGTGTGAGGACCCTGAGGAAATACTTCCCAGAAAATTTCACCATGGTGATGCTGGTCTCCTGTTACTTACAGCTGATTTTTCAGCCCCAGCTAACCAGCATCAATTGTCCCAGTAAAGCAAAGGTTTTACTTCAGGTTCTGGTCTCTTCTTAATCACAGCTGATTCTTCAGCCCCAGCCGACCAGAACCCACAGATTCTCAATTCAAAATATCACACAAACATCCCTGATAGTCTCTACTTCCCTGTGAAGCTTCACAAGCCAGGCCTCCATTGTTCACAACTCAGCATAACTGTTCCAAGCTCCACAGAAACAAACTCTAAGCATTCAATGGCTTTTTAGCCCAAAGTTCCCAATGCTTCCACAATGCTCCTAAAAACACCAAGGTCAGTTCTGTCACAGCAATACCCTACTCCTGATACCAATTTATGTCCTAGTTGGTTTCTCTATTGCTTTGACACTCTGACCACTACCAACTTGGGGAGGAAAGGGTTTATTTGGCTTATATCTCCTGGGTCACAGTTCGTCACTGAGGGAGGCCAAGGTAAGAACTCAAGGCAGGCAGGAACCTGGAGGCAGGAGCTGGAGCACAGGCCATGGAGGAATGTTGCTTACTGGCTTGATCCCCTGGCCCCTGCTCATCTTGCTTTCTTAGGCAATACAGGCCCACCTGCCCAGGGGTGGCACCACCCACAGTGGGCTGGCCCTCCCACATCATTCAGCAGTCAAGAAGATGCCCCACAGACATGGCCACAGTCAGTCCTAAGGAAGCAATTCCCCAATTGAGGCTCCCTTTTCCCAGGTGTGTCAAGTTGACACTAAAGCTCTCCAGTATAGGTATCTTTATTGATTTCTCTCCAACTTACTTTTAAGATAGGATCTCCTTCTGAACCAGATGCCCACCAATTAGCTAGCCTGGTTGGTCAGTGGGACCCCAAAGATTTAGTGTGTCTGCCTCTCAGCCCTAGGACTATAAGTTCATGTCACTACATGAAACATTTTATGCTTATAATCCCAGTGCTGGACAGGCAGAGACAGGTGGATTCCTGGGGCTCACTGGCCAGCCAATCTAGCCTACATGAGAGCTCCAGGCCAGTGAGAAGTCCTGTCCCTGTCTAAGAAAAAAGAGTAGATATTCCCTGAGGATGACACCCAGAGTTGTCCTCTGGCCTACACAAACACACACACACACACACACACACACACACACACACACACATACCACAAAAATGAGCTCTGAAAGCCCACCCATGGTCAGTACCCCTTCGCAGAGAATCTGAACTAACCCAAGGACTGAAAAGCTAAGCTTGATGTTTGCAATCTACTCCGTGGAGATGGTTGGGATTGCAGTTGTGCCTAGATAGTGAGTCCTGCTATTTCATTTTCAGGCTGTGACAAGTGAAGAGCAAGTGTTTCCTCCTGCTTACTACGGATTTTGATGACCTCTCTCTGAAGTTGGGCACATCTTAAGAGCTTTCTTTTTTATTGTTTATTGATTTTTTTTTGTGCATCTCATACACAACATCTTAATCACCTTTATATCCCCTTCCCCATCGGCACCCTCTCATGGCCCCTTCCCCACTATTTTCATGCATTCTGTCACTTATATTAAGGCCTACCAAGTTAAGTTAGTACCTTTTGACATCCTTCAGTGCATGTTCATCCATTCAGGTCTAGTCAGTCTGTCTACAGCTCTTCCTCACCCAGCGGTAATCAGCTGCCCAACAGTTCTTTGGCTAATATTGGGGCCTGCTGTCCAAATCCTTATATACCAGTATGCCAGTCACCACTCATCAAAGAAGCTTCTTTTGCAACAGATGGAGACTTTTACAAAGTTCTGACTTCCACAACTGGTCACACACAGAGATTAAGTGTCTGTGAAATGCCCAACCCTAAGTGACCCACCTACAATGTAACCTCTACATCTAGTGCAACAAGGGGTAGAGGCAATATTAATGCATCTTTCAACTCTCATCAATGAAGCTCCCTCACGCAACAGGGAGCAATGAACACAAAGGGCCACAAATGGTTGAAGCATAGAAAATAAGGGTCTGCAGAGTGTGGGTCGTTGGGAAGGACTCCCATATTTAACTTCACCCACCCATGGCTCAGGGACCATTGCAGAAGAGGGGGCAGAAACATTGTAAGAACCATGAAAGGGGGTGCATGACCATATGGATATGGAGTCCTACAGGCTCCTGGAAACTTGTGCATATGTATTTATAGCATACACAAGATCCATGCAAACACAAGCAGACCAAAACCCAGCATACAACTGTGGAACTTTCTTTTAAAAAGAAAAAAGTGATTGCATTTGTTTCGCATGCATGTGTATATATATGGTTCTGTGTGTGAGCATGATATGGCGAATGTTTGGAGATTAGAAGACAACTTATGGGAGTCGATTATATCCTTCCACCATATGGGTCCCAGGAATGAAACTCAGGTCATCAAGCTTAGCAGCAAGCACCTTTGCCTGCTGAGCCATTTCACCAGCCCACCATCCTAGGAACTTTCATCTTTTCTGCATTAATCTGTGAGAGTAGCTATCAACTTATTAAACAAAAAAAAAATCTCTGAGAAGCCAGAACATTTAGTGACCAAGTATTCACCATTATCTAGGTGCACTGGCACAAACCTGTATGTAGTCTCAGCTCCTCTGAAGGCAAAGTCACAGGATCAATTGAGCACAAGTTCAAGTGCTGCAACATACTAAAAGACCATCTCCAAAAAAGGGTAAACATTTATCTATATTTATTTTTGCCTGTGTTTTTTAAAATATATTTTATTTAACATTTTTATTTTATGTGTATGACTATATTGCCTGCATGTATGTGAGTGTACCCATGTCATGCAATACTGTGGAGGTCAGAAGAGAGTGTCGGATTCCCCTGGAACTGGAGTTAAGGACAGTTGTAGCTGCCAATTGGGTGCTGGGAATCAAACCTGGGTCCTCTGCAAGAGCAGTTAGTGCTCGTAACTGCTGAGCCATCTCTCCAACCCCTTGCCTGTGGTTTTCATCAAAAAGATCTCAATAAAATACTTCAAAGCAAGAAAAGAAATGCTTCCAACAAGCTCCCACAGCTTCTTGTCCGCCCTGCTGACCTTAGTTCAGAGGCTCCATGGTTTGGTGTGTTGGCTGGTATTCAGTAGGCACCAGTAAGCAGCTCTGTGTTGAACTGCAGGTCTGCTAGTGAACCAAGTAGCTGTGTTCCATCTCATCCTCAGCCTCCTTGGGCCACCAAGATAACTGGTACACAGTCTTCTCATGCTCAAATAGAGGCATTGAGTTGGAACTGACACATTGTGACTTCTGCCCTCATACAATAAGCTAAAGCAAATCACTTAGCCAAGTCCAAAACCAAGGGGTGAGGCCATAGGCTCTACCTACACGAAGTCAAAGGATGTCTATGTGGGGAGAAGAGGAGATCAATATTTCTTCTGCTACAAGTCAAAATAAAGAACTTGTCAGTACCTGAAGGAATTCTCTGAATTCACAAAGCATCCTTGTTTAGTTTTAGCTTCTGAATTTGTCACTATATTACAGTATCATTTGGGGGGGATCTCACTAACGAAGCTGTTGCAAATGACCAGAAGAGGACATTTGTTAAATTACCACTTTTGTGCAGGAGTCGGTGACTTTCCACGTTTAGCATCCTAAGATTGTGAAAGAAAACCTCGCAGAGTATGAAAACCTCCACTGAAGTCACATCAGAGGGCAGTTGTGAACTTGCATCCATGGTCTTGTTTTGACTTCTCAACTGAATTCTTAATCCCTGGAGCTCAGATGTCCCTGACACTTGTCCCACTCCTGAAATGCACAGCAATTAGCAGTGCTTCTGGGCAGCCTGCGATAAATTGAGGCTGATGGGGAGGGTTGTGGTGGAGCTGAGAGCACTGAGGCCTCACAGATAGTTCTGGGGGCGGGTCCCAGCCAGATGTGCTGGGCCAGCCCCGCCCCCGCTTGCTCAGGCTTCACCGGCAGAGGAGCCAGCAGTGTGCCTCTCCAGGGCACCCCCAGCCACTCGCAGCAGCTCGCAGCTCGCAGCTCGCCGCTTCCCCCACCCCGCGCCTGGCTGTCCTAACCGAGCCAGCGGCCACCGCGCCTGCTGAGGAGAGAGAAGGTGGTGGCCCAGCTGTGCCCCACATCCCGAGGGGCACAAGACTAGGAGTGAGGAGGCCAGGGCAACATGCAGCCTCCCTGGAGCCTGGCACTCTCGCTGCTGCTCCCCTGGGTGGCAGGTGGAGTAGGGACCAGGTGAGTGTCTGGATTGACCATGGTCCCCAGGACTGAATTCTCCTTTGGGAGCCTTTTCTAGCTGACCTCTCTGTGTGTGGCGGGGGGTGCCTGGGTGCTGGCGTTGGGGTTGGAGCATCCCGGGATGGGATTTCACTAGGATGCCACAGGCTTTCTTACCTGCGTGCCTTTAGATGGGTTTGGCCTCTGGTGGTCTGGGCATCCTCAGCCCCACCTGCCTGCATTTGTCCGGTTGTTCCACGAACAGTAAGGCTGAGCAAGCAGACCCATGGCCGAAAGCAGGCTTGGCGCTCTGCATCCACCCACCTCCTGCACAGGCAGCTGTGTGAGAGTCCCTGAGGTGGGGGTGGGGGTCTGTCTGTGCAATTTAGTGACCTCCATTGTGCCCAAAGGACGCCCAGTGTTTACCAGTCACTAGTTTCGTTAAGGAAGAAAGAAAAAATTGGTTGTTTCAGAATATGAATTTATCATTCCTGACCTGAAACAGTACAGTGCTAGGTTCCTGTCCTGGCTGCCTTTGGATTAGGGTTGATGAACCGGAAAATTCGTGTTGGTGAATTGACAGGGGTTCTCATTCTTGCTCTGCCACTTCCTTACTGCCCAGAAGCTTTTCTGAGCCCTGAAATGTTTCCCCCAGGCAGCCTCAAAGCCACATAGTATAAATGCACACTTAAGCATAGTGCTTCCTATAGACCTTACCTTTCTAAGCATTTTCCCTCTATTAACTGGCCAAAAATCCTTGACTACTGTTTGTAGACGGTATTATTATTATCTCTGTGTTACCGAGGAGAAAGATGAGGAGCGAAGATGTTGAGGAACTTGCACAAAGTGACAGAGCAGGAATGAAAACCCAGGAAACCTGGCTCCTCATCCCTGCTCTTTCCCAGTGCAGAAGGGCAGCCTTCGGAGGGAAAATTCCCTGAAAAAGGGGTTTCCGGGGTTCTGTAGCAGTGATGCCTTGCTTCCTCCCTACCTGCATCCGGTTTCTTCACAACAGCACCACGCACCTTTAGGGATGGGTTAGATAATCATTTGTTGGGTGGCAGACTGTCCTGTTTTCTGTGGGAGGTTCAACTGCATCCCTGGCCCCTACTCCTGATGTGCCAGTAACAACTCTTGACACGACCACCCACCACCCACCTGTAGCTAAGTTGTGACAACTTTTGAAGAAAAGTCTCCAGATACTGCCCTAAGTCCCCTGTGGGGAGGTTCCCTTCCAGCCCGGTGAGGATTTTCTGTGCTGATTCTGAGGGAAAGCCCTTGATTTGGCTCCAGCTTCTTAAAGGTGAGCCTGACTTTGTTTAACTTAGAGAAAAAAAAATTCTTTCATCAGGGTCCGCCACGGTATTAAGGGATTTTGAAGTTCAAACAGAACAAACCCTCAAACTAGGTTGCTAGAAGTATGATCACAAGTTTCAATTTCTTTCCCATAATAAAAATGTAAGCAGATGCAATGTGCCTGGATCACATTTTCCTTGAACTTTGGAGGGTCTTGTTTTGTTAGATCTTGTTTTGATCTTTTAAGAAAGATCAAGTGCTACATGTACGGAGATGAGATTAACAGCTCTTCGGCGGCAAGGCAAACCGATCTACAGGAGCACCATTTACAAAGTGCCACCAAATTAAATTAAAAGCCAAAAAGGCCCCACCCCACCCCAAGAAATCAAAGACTATTAACCCAAAGAATCTGTGTGAGGATTCTGAAGTGGTGCAGTTTTCAGGATGTGAACTCTGATTGTTTTCCAGTGTCAGGTTCATGGGCTGGTGTGCTTATGATCTGGTCCACATGCTTGGAAATGTCAAGTAGTCAGCACTTCGTGAATGGCCCAGGGTCCATGTTTAATTAACTCCAGACTCCACCTTCAGGGCGGCCCATTTATGGAGGAAAGCAAGGCAGACATTGTAAGAAAGTGTGCCTTCTGGTTAATTATTTCCTAATGCTTCGCTGAAATTTATAGCAAAAATAAACTATAGGTGGGATATATAGATTGTTAATAAAAATCACCAGTAGGGGATTGAGGATGTAACTCAGCTGGTAGAATGCCTCCCTAGCATGCATGAAGTCCTAGGTTTGATCCCCAGCACCCCGTAAAAATGGATGTGGTGATACATACCTGTAATACAACACTGTGGAGGTGGAGACAGGAGAATCAGGTGCTCATGGGCATTCTCAGCTACATAGTGAGTTTCAGACGCTTGTCTCAAAAAGTTAAATCAAACAAGAAAGCACAAATTATTTTTCATTGATTGTGTGTGTGACCTGGAAAACTATATAACTCTTAAATGGTGCTTAATGTATAGGTGACAATTACTACTGATCAAATAAATGACTCATTAGCTGCGTATTCACCTGTTCACATGCATCAGAATTTTTCTTGCCTTGTGCCTTTTATGCCCTTTGGGCATTGGAACTATTTAGATGTCCTGGACCCACTATATTCACTACAGCAAATATGATGACTACTGTGTGCCTTAAATGTGGCCATCCCATGCTGAGATGTACTGCACATGAAAATACTCCCTCGAATTTGAAGATTTAGTATGGAGGAAAAAACCAGGAAATATGTCACTAATCATTTTCTAAGGATAACATGTTGAGATGGTAATACTGTACATAAACTGCTTTGGATAAACTATGTCAGTAAAATTAATTTCATTCATTTCTTTCTCATTTTGAAAATGTGGCTACCAGAAAATTCAGCATGCCCTGTGGCTATCATATTTCTAGTAGACAGTGCTGATTTAAAGGATTTGCTTAGAGCTTTATTTCCAATTCTTCTGTTCCCCGGATAGGATTTTTGTCCTTTGGGCACATAAGTATGATACTAACTTTGCTATTCGTGGTATTAAAAGTTGACTGAAGGGCTGGAGAGATGGCTCAGCAGTTGAGAACACTGCTTGTTCTTGCAGAAGACCTGGGTTCAAATCCAAGCACCCACATGGCAGCTAACAACTGTCCATAACTCCAGTCCCAGGGGATCTGATGGCCTGCCTCTTCTGACCTCCCCGGGCATTGCACAACACAGGTGCACTTACCTACATGCAGGCAATACACACACACACATAAAATAAAAATAATAAGTAAAAAATTTTAAGTTAAAAAAAGTTGACTGAATCTCTACTCAGGATATATTTCTGTTATACATCTTTTCAATTCAAGTAAAAGAAATGTGCAAGAGAAGAATGAACATGTGTATTCCCATCTAGCTGCCTGCTGACTATAAACCACAGGCCCTATGGAGAATTGGTCCTTCTCAGAGCCCTGGTAGGGAAGTTCCACCACAAACTTCAAGACTTAACCCAGATTTACTGTCTTAAAGTTCTGGAAGTCAGAAGTCCAAAATGAGTCTTACGGGGCTAAAATCAGGGCATTAGTAGGGTGATTTCCTACTGGAGGTTCTAAGGGAGAATCTGTTCCTTTTTCTTCAACCTTCTAGATGCTGCTAGCCATCCTTGGCTTGTGGAGATGATGCCCATCTCTTCCTCCTTTATCACTTTACATTCTCTACCCTTTGTCTTACTCCCTTTATGAGGAGTCCTTGTGGTTATCGGAAGCCCGCCTGGATAATCCAGGAAGATATCAAAATGCTTACCTTGATCAAACCTGTATAGTCCCTTTCATCTTGTCAAAGGACTAGTGTAGCACAAATGCTCTGTCTGCCTGATACCACCACCTTCTCTCAGAAGCAATCTCAGAGCAGAGAGATTGGGAGATGACCCTGGGACACTCTGCTAGGGAAAAGGGGAAGTACAACAGAAAGAGAAGGGACCATTACAAAAATAAGGACCACTATGACATAATCCTGTCTAGGGACTGGGACGTGAGTTGGAGAGTTGTCCCTTCCAGAGGCAGGGGAGCAAGGGTTACACTCCTGTCAGTCACTGAATGAGGTGTTCAGAGGAATAAGATTCCTGTACCTTCTGCCTCCCATGCACTCTGGCAGAAATGGATCCTGCCAGCAGGAATAATTCTTGAGTATCAAGAAATGAAGTTGGGGCCAGAAGACGGCTCAGGAGGTAAATGCACTTGCTGTGCAAACCTGGTGGCCTGGCTAGAGTCCATTCCCCAGAACCCACCAAAAGGTAGAAAGAAGGAACTCCATAAAGTTGTCCTCTGACCTCCATAGCCACACTATGGCACACATGCCCAAACACGTATCATGTACACGTAGACACGCATGCAATAATAATAAATTACAAATTAGGAAAAAAAGAAATGAAGCTGTTTGTGTACCATGCTCTCATTTGTCACTGACCTGGTGAGACAGGAAACTCCTTTTATGGAACATGTTTCCCTAAAGACAACTTCTGGAGCACAAACTCCCTTCGAGATGGTGGAAACATACAGGTGTTCTAAGGTGTTATGGGTTCTAAAGTAAACTTAACTACAATAGGATCTGTGAGTGACTTGCCCAGAATCTAAGTGAACAAGTAGCAGATTTAAAGTCCATAATGTCTCCCAGAGATAACTAAATCACTTTCCACTCAATACAAAACTTTGTCCAAAGAGATCAGTACCTCCAGTTCTCTTGGTTAATTTGCCAGGTCCCAGTGTATTGGTTTCAATAACTAACTTAAGGTTGGAGAGATAGCCCAATGAGTAAAGTGCTTGCTGTGCAAGCATAAGGACCCAAGTGGCACAGTGGCACTTGCCTATAATCCCAGCATTGGGGAGGCAGAGACAGGAGGATCTCTGGAGCTTGCTGTCAGCCATCCTAGCTGAATTGGTGAACTCCAGGCTCAGTAAGAGACTCTTTCTCAAAAAACAAAGTGGAGAGTAACTGAGGAAACCACTGAACATCAATTTCTGGCCTCTACACACATATAAACACATACACACACATACACCAGACAGAAAAAAATAACATATTTTAAATCCCCAGATTTTAATTATGAAAAAAATTCTAGAAAGTGTTAAAATTAATTCAGTTCGGTTTGACAACATTAACTGAACACTAGCATGCCGAAACATTCTCCTGAATGCCAGAGATACATATCTA